ACACGTATAGTTAAAATTAGTAAGGTGTAATGATAGTTATAGAAAAATATATAATGGTTTTCCGGCGAGACATATACAGAAGAAGGAAGAGAGGACAAATAAATCGTAGAAAGTAGAATACCGACTAATGAAAATAGACACTTTATAAGATAAAAAGTGAGTAATTTTTATAAACTAATTCAAAAAATAAGTAATTGTGTTTGAAAAGACATTGGTAGTTGTTATTTTTTTTTATATAATTTAATTTTAGTATATAGTTTAGCAAGAATGAATGAAGAGTGAATGAATTTAGATTAGATTTAGTGATATAGTTTCTTTATAATCCCCAGAAACGTATATAGCGGGGAAATGTTGTTAATTGGAGATTTAAATAACTTCTTTGATAATAAATATTATATTTTTGGTTTTGAAAATTTGTTCATTTTGATTTGAGAATACAGGGAAATAAACAAGTCCAGTCATAAATTTTATTTTGTTAATTATTGACAAAATAAATTAAAAGGAAATTATAATAACATTAAAATAGAATTTTAAAAAAATACAATTGAAATAAAATTAAATAAAATTAAATAAAATTAAATAAAATTAAATAAAATTAAATAAAATTAAATAAAATTAAATAAAATTAAATAAAATTAAATAAAATTAAATAAAATTAAATAAAATTAAATAAAATTAAATAAAATTAAATAAAATTAAATAAAATTAAAATAAAATTAAGTTGAAAAAGTAATAATAATATAATTGGAAGCACCCCTGAGAAAAAAAAAAAAAAAATTAATAATAAAAAAAAAATTAAAAAAAAATACTTTAATTAAAATAAAAAAAATAAAATTGGTATGTGTAATATCATTACAATATATATTTTTTTTTATATTTTGGACTTTTTTCTGTTTTGTTCAGTCATAAATTGTATTTTTTTCTCATTTTTGTATTTTGAATTTGAGTTGTTGTTTAGTAACAAAAAAAAAATTGTTTGTATATTAGGGTTACCTATTTCAATAAATATATTTTCATTTCATTTTTCATCATTTTCATTTATTCTACAGGGAAAATTAATTTAATAAATACATAATTTTCTAAATATCTTCTCTTTCGGTAAAGACTAACTTAAAAATATGTACTTGTTAGTTATTCACCATTATTAATTAATACACTTTATTTCGATAAATTACAATTACCCATTGGAGTAGAATCATAAGAGTTAAGATTAATAATTATTCCTTATACAATTTGTCTCAAAGAGACTCTTGGTTGATCTCTGTAAAACATTTCATTTCTGAGATTTTTCAGTTTTTGTCCTACTCAAACAAGAAATCTGAATAAGGGAAGATATTTGGAAAATTATGTATTCATGAAATTCATTTTATTTAATAATTATTTAAGATCTACAAGTCCTTCTGTTTATGGTACTTTATTCTGAAATACCCTGTATATAATCTGACTCTGTCTGCCCGAACTTGCAGTGTGTAACAATTTTGTATTAGTAATTCTATTTATCGTATATGAACTTTTTCCTGTCTTTATACCACTTTCTTCCTAGGTCTTTCCTTGAATCACCTTTCATGTATTTTTGGTTTCCAAGCTAGTTTTGAAAGGCCTTTCGCTTTTAAGTCTGGTTAGATGTCCAAGCCATTTGATAATTTGTATAATTTATATAATTTATACTTTTAGTTTCGTATATTTCAAATTTTATTGAAATCCTTGTTCGACGGTAAACGAAATTCATCTACGCCTTTGATATAGGTTTCAAACGAAGTTAGAAAGCGCTTGCAGTATGCGGTACATTTTTAATTACGATTGGTATCACTTTCTTTTCGGCAATCGAACCATAAAGATCAGTAAAAATATCTTGCGCAACTATCTAGATTTAATCAGAGTAGTAGTTTTAATTATTTTTGATTGACTTGGTTTTGTAATTGATTAATGTAAAAAGTTTTACTTTGTAATTATATAATTTGTTTGAATTAAATTTGAATAATATCCCTACAATTCGCCCTCTTACAGTAAACCCCATTCTTGTCAGTTTCAACATTATATTAAATAAAAATAATAATAATAATAAAAATATCTGATACATACAAAAAATGACGACACTATCTAATTTTAATCAGGTGATACATTTTTATTGGAAAACCTTAACCCATTAGCGCCGAAATTAGGTTCTTTTACATTTTGTTATATCATTTGCAAAACTTACTAAAAATAGTTTATGGAGGCTGCAAAAAATTTGGTCAGTCTCATATTGTAGTTATAGTCAATAATTTTAGCAAATTGCGATTGCAGTCTAATATTTCTGTAGTAATTAGAATTATTTATTTACCCTTTAGAGATATTTTTAATGCATGTGTTTGCCGTAATCATATCCCAAGTAACATTTTTAGATTTGTCAAAGTATACAAGGTAAGCATAAAACCCTTTTTTAAAACACTGATAAAACTTTTGAATCCGCGAGATAGCCTTAGGGCTGCTATAAATCTGCTTTAAGAGTAAAAAGGAGAATCCTATAATGGTTCTTAGGAGTATTTTTAAAACAATATCTTAAGACTAATTAGACTTAAGACAAAGCCCGTAAGAGTATATTAAGAATTTTATTAAACCATTTTTAAATCTTTTTTTAAGATAATGATAATAAGTGGGATAGGCATAAAAACTAATCAGTTTAGAGAATTAAATTTTAAACTGTTTTAGCTTTATTTTGTTTTATCATACTCTCTGACAGAATGATTTTGTAAACATATTAGAAATTAATTATTATATAGTGTATGTTTAATTTGTTTAGTTACACTTGTTATTTCTTTAGATTTCAAACACACACCAAAGTACTGTTAAAAGTGGGCAAGGTGGGTCGTAATAAATGATGGGCCTTACAATATATGAAATATACGTGACAAAGGATTAATATACGGATTCTAATCTATTTACTGAAAGTTATTTAATAGAAAATAACATTGTAAATATCGAATATATAGCACTATAAAATGATTACATTTGTCTTTGATATGTTTTTCATATAAAATATCACCTTTTTTATTTTCAAATTATTTCATGGAAGTGACTATTTAACCGCCAATATAAATTCTATTGTAGATTTGTCTTTGCATGGATACTTGTCATCGTCAGAAAACCATTTTAAATTGCGCATACTAACTACTAGACTATCAGAAATAAACTTTGTATTTAATCAAAAATTACTTTAGGCGAGGCAAGAGTTGTATAACATTACAACAACATAATATATTTCAATATAAATTACATGTATATACCCTAAAAGGAATAAGCTGTAGATATGTTTGACAAATTTGACATTATGTGGTTAAACGCAGTAAACTCAATCATAAATAATACATTTACTGTCATTGGCACAATGTTGTCATTGGCACACTATCACTGTCTTTGGTACACAAAAGACGTCATTACTAAAATCGAAATTTAGAATTATTTGAACTTTGACCATAATTTATTTAAATATTCTTTAGGTACAGGTCTGGTAGACAGGTACTATTTTACATGATATGTGATTAAACAGCCACTGCCATATTTAAAATGGAGGATTTCCTCATTGTGTTCTATCTGTACCTAAATACTTTTTAGAACTTTCCAGTTTTAAAAAGCTCCTGCTACACTTTTTAAAGCGTTTCATAAAACAATAGTAAAAACGAAAACCTCAATAAAACATTCATAAGTTCAATCAGACGGGCATAACCTAACCTCACTTTTGAGCTTCTTATTTACTCTACGAAAAAGTCGTTCAAAATAATAATAATAATAATAATAAAAAATTAGTAATAATATATTAACCATTTTTCTCTTTCACTCATCATTTCCAGAATATTAGGAGCCTAGGAATGTTTTGATATTTGTTAAACAATGGAACACAATGAACTTAATATACACTGAGGAAAAGGAGAAACATATACATTTTTTTCATTCTCTATGGAAATTACCACTTTTCTTTATTTTGAACAATTTATCTTTCAACGTCAACATAATGTGATTGGGTTGAAAAACTAGGTTATGCTCTTAAACAAACTTTAATTCTTATTAAAACTATGTAGTTTTAAAAGAGCCCTATGGTTTACTAGATTAAATAAATTATAAGAGTTATGTTGTAAAATTGTAGAAAATGTACCTAAAAGGTCTGGGATCAATTTAATACAAAGTATAATCCTAAAACACTTTTTAAAACTAAGTTTTAAAACCTACTTAAGATAACTGCTAAAAAGTATGCCTCTTTAACACCAACCACACCTTAGGAGTATCTTAAAACTAAATAGTTTTAAAATTACTCATAAATTAACCCTTACAGGACAGCGATAAAGCATAGTTTACTTTAGGATAAACTAGTTTTCTTAAACAGATTTAATGGAATCTATAAAACCAAGTAATAAGATCAATTTATCCTGCAGTCCTATTAGCAAAAAAATAACTGTAATAAAATAATTGTTAATTTTTATGCTTTTACAAAATCCTAATAAAACATAAATAAAACTTTCTCTTAAAAATGTTACTTGGGATGGCAACGCGGGTGTAAAGATACATTATTACTTATTTTAAACACATTTTTTAGCCATTATTTTGGCTTTATACATTACTTATACATTAAGTACAGATCTTTTCACCTCTGAGTAAAATTAGATACATACGTAGGTTAACGAACAATAGCCCTATAGTGTAATCAGCAAGTAGTTACTTTCAACTTTACTCAGCGGTGAAAAGATTGGTCCTTAATCTAATATATTGTCTTTTCTTTCTAGGTTAATAAAATTTAAGTTATAAAACAATAAATTCCGAGTATATTAAATAGCTTTTCTTTTCTGTATATTTACCTCTTTTCTAAATTCTTTGTTTGTTGTCTACTTTATTACCTACTTCTCTTATGATCGAAAAAAAGTATACCTACTCAATTATTCTTTGTCCATTATTTTATTTTTAATAATTTCTCAATGTCTACCTATTAATGCATTTTAATGATAATGTAATTTATTATTTCGTTACAGTTTTGACTGACATAGACGTTAGTGCCTACGATGATAGCACCATAGGAACAACTCCTTCAGTAACTTCATATAGACTGAGCGAAGACGTTTTTTGTATTCAGCCACCCTCACTTAGAGCATTAGGATCGTTCCGTTCTTCAAGAGAAACTGAAACCACTTCGCACAATAAGCAAAATGGGAATACTCCAGATACCAAATATTTTAAATTTAGAGGTTAGTTTTATTAATGGTTATTTAACGAACAAGTGGGTTAAAAAGGACGATTAACAATCGAGATTGTTAATCGCCATTTTAATTCACGAATTCGTTACAGAACATATCCGTCAACCGTACTTTTCAAAAATAAAGATATCTTACTTTCAATTTTTATTTATTTAATGAAAAACAACAATTACTATTTTTTATTTATATTAACTTTATTCACAGTTAGTTCAATTTTCCTCAGTTTCTTCCACTTCTGGTGGAGTTAAATTAAACTTTTGTCAATATTCATCTTTTCATTTTAAACTATGCATAGAATTTTTGAATTTTAAGAAATTAAATAATGACACAATGACATAGTATTAAATTAATACACCTTCTTGATTTCAAATGTATATGTATGTTTGGTTGCCTACACCATAGGTAACTGTCAATATAAATGTATAATAATAGCAATGTATGTTGGGTTGCATATAATAAAATTGTTGATTAATAGAAAATCATTCATTAATAGTGATCGTTAATCAACGATTTTGAGTTAAAATATTATCATAAATGGTTGGTCGCTGAAAAATATTATTTAACTCACCTTTTAATATAAAATTTCCTCCTTATTACAAATGCTTTTAAAACTATTATGTAAAAATCATCATATATATTCTGTGGAAATTCTATAAAGAATAAAATATAGCTTTTATTCAATGAAAATAATGTTTTTCTTATTGACATTTAATGATCTTTTTTAATAATTATGTTTTTGTTTTTCAGAACGTTCTTACAGCGATATTCAAAGAGTTTAAACACATTCCTACAAAGAAACAACTAGAGCTGTCTCTTATCAAACTAGTCATATCCAAAGTCAGTGGAGGCATTTTTTTATACCAAAAGGAATACAAATCGAATTTAACGAATTTTTTAAAATGTTGAATCACAATTACCTATATGTTTTTATTTATGAATCAAATGTATTTTTCCTATTTAAATACCTACATTTATTGAACCAACTTTGAGACAATCTAATGTAATGGAGGTATTATAATTTTGTAGATTTTAGAAAAACTTTTGCATGTTTATAGACCAATTAAACAATTTATATTAAAATTGTTTTTTATTGCATAATGTATAAGTAAAATATCGGAGGATATTCGATCAGCTTTTATTAAATTGATCCTCGTTTCCTGGTACTACATCAGTTTTGGTCCACACTTAGGGTTGCCGACAATACTTTATTTATTTTCCGTCTTTGCTGTGATACCTAAATCGAAACATTCATTATGGGTAAGTAAGAGTAGGTAATTTATTTATGGATACATATAAGTTAAAACAAAATGTATCTATGATGAAAACCATTAATGAGGTCTTTTCCTTTGCATCGAAAGTGTAGCACTGAACTATGCCACTTCTGAAAATATCGTTTCATTTATACAAATTATATGGATTGAACGATATATTGTCTTGGGGTATGTTTTCCTATTCTGCTAATGCTGCATCAATAAGCTGTGAGACATTTCCTGCATTGTTTCGACGAGCTTTAATCCTTCTTTTGAGCTGGTCCCACAAGTGTTCGATTGGATTTAGCTCTGTTGAACATGCAAGGCAGTCTAAAACTGTAACACCTTCTGTTTCAAGATATTCTGTAGCCACTCTGCTAGTATAGGGAGGGAGGTGCATTATCGTGCATAAAGATAAAATTATCCCCAAAGCCTTACGATTGGTTTTAGCACTAAATCAACATATCTCTGACCGGTTAAAGTTTGTTGAAGTGATAACAATGGAGTTTTTGCTTCCAGCATAATACCGGCCCAAAACATTACAGTTCCTCTTTGATTTCTTGGGACATATCTGACAGCGCTCTCGCTCATCTTCCTGGAGCTCTGAGAATCCGAATTCGATAGTCATCTGATCTTAGGCCAATTCTGGTCTCATCCAAAAAAAGAACATTTTTGCCAATTCTCAATTGTCCAGTTTTGGTGTTGGAGGGACCAATTTAGCCAGTCAATTTTATTTTGCCTAGGTGGGACCCATAACTCTTTCCTACTGTACAAACCTTGTGCGCGAAGTCTTTCTCTTAGAGTTTCAATTGAAACGTTCACATCTGTAGCTTCCAGGAGTTGTCGTTGTAGCTCTAGATGAGAAACATTTGGATTTCGTCAAGTAAATTGGCATACAAAGCGGTCCTGTTGTTCAGTTGTGACTCTTTGACTACTTTGTATGGGCCTGTTCTTGAGAGTTTCTAGTTCCAAGTACCTTTCATATGTTTTCAATACAATACCCTGGGTATTGCTTACTACCTCTGCTACCTCTCATTGGGGCATTCCTTGTTCAATGAGAGCAATAATTCTCACCCTCCTGCATATTTGTTAATCCAATATAAGGCATTTTGTTGTTTTTTTGGACCGAAATAAAATTACCGGAGAATCGTGATTTTTACTTCTGAACACAAAATTCACAAGATAATAAATTTTAGCAGTTGTTTCTTCTTTATTATCATGTTTGTTAAGAACAAAAGGCCTTATCTTAAAGTTAGTTACCAAAGTTTTTTCTTACAAAACGTTTATTCAGAAATACACAGTGGGAATCACTTATAAGTTTGGTTGTGTGTATATTTATTTTCTAGCATAGGGTAGGTACAAATACGACTTTTAAAATATGTTAAAGAGAACGACTTGCAAGGTCAAATAGGGCGTCAATCAACCCCAAAGGGAATTTTCCGATTATTTAATAGGAATAAATATCTCCGCTCCTAGACATAGAAACATATATCTTTGTCTAGCATAAGTTAGGTACTAAAACTACTTTAACTGTCCTAAAGAGAACTATTTGCAAGATCAAATAGGGTGTTTTTCAACCCCAAAGAGAAAATAGTCGCAATCAAATATCTCGGTTCCTAGACATAAAAATATATTTATTTTCTAGCATAGGGTAGGTACAAATACCACTTTCAAAATCTGTTAAAGAGAACGACTTGCAAGATCAAGTAGGGCGTCAATCAACTTCAAAGGGAGAAAACGGACCAGGTCAAAAACTAAATTCTGTTCAGGATAAGCAGTGCTTGTCAGCTATCTGTTTTCGGCTCCATGCGTGACAGCAGTGCAAATTCATTTAGGTACTAATGGACTATTTCTGCATGTACTGACAATACAATTTTTAATAGAATTCGTAAATAAAAAGTATATATGTTAGTTTTAATAAAAGTATATGGATTTATAAAATAAGTAAAACATTAATTTATTATTCGTATATAACTTTATCGCTTAAATTAAAACAAATTAAGTATAATAAATAAAAATCAATAATAAAATATAGACAGGCAACAGTATTTACGGGAAAATGTACGAGAAATAACCTAAGTCTAATAGTTGTCTTTGAAGAATCAAAATAAAAAAATACCATTAAATAGTATATGTTACGTTGTAATCGGCACTCCCTTTTAATAATTACAATATTTAATTAGTTCAAATATTCCAATATATTCTAATACTTTTTGAGTGCCCCTCTTATTTGGAAATATGGATATTATATTAATTCGGGGAAATTGTCTCTGTCTAAAAATCAATAATTACTTACTGTCAGAGGTTGTGCGCACGCCTGGCCACCTGTTGATGTGAATACATCACGTTTTCTCGTTTGCTAAATTCTTTTCAATTTTGCAGCCGAATGAATCAGTTGGTTAGTGCTTTGTTAAGTGTTTCCGAACTAACTAAGGTAACAGAATCATTTTTTTTATAATGAATGGTAGAAATTAATTTTATTATGTGTATATCCTGGTGAAATTATCTTTGAGTTATTTCATTCATTAATAGCGAGATTTCCGCGTAATATAAGTTCCATGTAATGTACAAAATGGCGGCCATTAATTTTATATTTTTTTCACTTATTTAAAAAAAAATCTTTCCATTCTTCATGTATTTTAATTTAAATACTATTGCAAATCTCTATTATTGTTGTAAACTTGAAATGTTCAATTTAAAAATGTTTAATTTAAATAGTAAGCTTTTATGGTTGACTTGTAGGCTGACCACATGTTTTTTTTTGAAGCAATGGAAAGATACGGTTTTTTGTTGTAACTGACACGTTTTTTCTTTCTTAAAATTAAGGAACTGGCCCAGTAAGGAACATTTGATAACTAAGAACTTGCAGAATATGTCTAGAAAGTCATCGTAGGCTGAGCTACATCTAGAACTGCAGAATATGTCTAGAAAGTCATCGTAAGCTGAGATACACCTAGAATTGCAGAATATGTCTAGAAAGTCATCGTAGGTTGAGCTACAGTTAAGAGAGCGACACGGACCAGTTCGACCGTTGAAATCCGGAAACACACAAGATAAGTGTCGGCCAGGACCACACACAATTTTTAAGTCAAAGTTCATACTAGTCAATTTTAATTTTAAAAAAATAATAACTCATTATCAGTCAAATAACGTAAACCGTAAAATTTGTTAAAATCAATAAATTTCATTTTTCTTTTTTATTGTTAATATCACTCATTAATGAATTAATTTTAAATTAAAGCCGATTAATTGTTTTAAAATTTAAGTTCTTTTATTTTCCTTACTTTCAACTGACAAGTTAATGGCAAATTTACTTTTATTGTACATCTAAAGGTATGGCGCCCAAATTAATTTAATCGAATTATTTTAAGTCTTTTTAATTAAAGACCTTGTCATTGACTTGAAGGTAAATTCTAAACGAATCCCACTGACCCATTTTGATCTGAGCTAGGCCTGAGGCTTGTAAGAATTCTTATTATAAGGATTTTTACAGGTTAACGTATCATCTGGTGCAAAATATGTTTTTAAAACATAACTTTTAAACGTAACATATAGCATGAAGTTAAAATGTATAAACAGAAGGATTCTCATTTATATTTTCATTTTTGTTCGAAAGAAAACAGAATGAATGATTAAAGTCACAAAATTGCATTCCAATCACAAGTCACATACAATAATCAAATGCGGAAATCTTGAAATTTAGTCCTTGCTGAATATTTAAGAATAAAGGGATGTTGAAGAACATCGTAAAATGATAATTTCAAACCTTTCAAGTTTATGATGTTTCCGGTATTACTGTTATTATTACAAAAATAATGGTAATTTTTCTTCCTATTGTACACCTATTCATTTATTTCTTTGATTTAATTTCCACCTTGCTACTGAAAAGTTTTTTAATTTTCAGTTTTTTTGCTAGTATTTTTACAATTTTCAACACAGCAACTTCGGTTGCTTATTGTATTGATTTTACTTACTTTTTTGAAAAAAAAAAAAAAAAAAGTAAAATGTATACGTGTATTTGATATGCCAAAATTACAAAATATCACCCTAAAATGCGCGAATTTTCCACAGCTAGTGCTAGTATCGCTTTTGCTTCCCCTACCATGATTTCGTACTGAGCGAATAGATGATCATGTTCTTTCCAGTGATATTATTTCTGGTGATTTATTTTGCTACCATGTTTGAATTACAGTGGCACTATTGCTCACAGCCCATTTTATGTTTAGGTTTAAAGATCTGAGATTTGTTTTGGAAATGTCGGTGTAAATATGAATCGTACCTGCCACTTCCGGCTCTTCTGTTAAAACTTTATATGGCTTATGAAAGATACGTCTTGGTGAGATGAAGTAGCTTGAAGCAGTGGGAGCGTATCGAGCGTCTCCTGTCAAAAGCGTCGTCTCACCTCACTAGGGTTGCCACCTATCCTTCTTGCAAAGGACAGCCCTTGTATCAAACAAATAGTCCTTTGTAACTTTTTAAAACTTAAATGTTTTTTTTACGGCACATGCCTTTTTTATGGCATATGATTTTTTTACAGCACATGTCCTTTAAAAGACATGGTTTTTATGTAAATATAAGCCGAGGATCTTATTTTTTTAGAAGCTCGGCAGAAGGACCAGTGGTTTATTAAAATAACTGACGAAGACCTTTTTTTTGAAGCTCGGTAGAAGGACCAGGGGTTTATTAATAAAATATTTTAACCGAATCCCTGTCGGCACTGTTGTCCTTTATTCACTTTTCGAAAAGGTGGCAAACCTACACCTCATCGAGATATATCTTCCATAAGCCATAGAACAAATAGAAGAGCCAG